TCCACTCATCTCAGCCTCCCAAAGGCGCGGGATTACAGACTGAGCCACCGAGCCTGGCTTTAATTTTATTTTAAAGAGATGTGGGGTAAAAGTGGGGATTAACTACTTGAGTGGGTTGCCTGCAAGTGAATTCTGGGCTTCTTGCTGGCTCTCACTCCTTTGGCGATGGACCAGGTACCCTTTGTGTTGTCACATGAGCCACACCCTCTTCCCTCCCCCAACCCTGGCAGTGCCCAGTGACTGCTGATCTCTCCCATGTGCTCATGTGACTGGTGTTCAGGGCCCACCAGAGTGAGAACATGCAGCATTCAGACCTCTGTTGCTGTGATAGGTCGCTTAGTGTGATGGTCTCCAGCTCCAACCAAGTTGCTGCAAAGTCCATGATTTTGTTCTTCATGGCTGTGTAATACTCCATCGTGTATCTATACCACGTTTTCTTTATCCAGTCCACTTTCCATGGCCAGTAGGGTTGGTTCCATGTTTTTGCTATTGTGAACAGTGTGGCAGCAAACATGCGTGTGCAGATGTCTTTTTTGTAGAACGATTTATGTTCCTCTGGGTGTATTCCCAGAAGAGGAATTGCTGGATCATATGAAAGGTCAATTTTTAGCTCTTTTAGGAATTGCCGCACTACTTTCCGTAGAGGCTGAACTAGCCTGTACTTCCACCAACAGTGTAGAAGCATTCCTTTTTCTTTGCACCCTCACCAGCATCTGTTTGTTTTTGACTTATTAACGATGGCCATCCTTATGGGAGTTAGATGGTATCTTATGATAGTTTTGATTTGCATTTCTCTGATGATTAGTGAGGCTGAGCAGTTTTTCATGTGTGTGTTGGCTGCTTAATTACCATAGCTTCAAAATTCTTCTTGCTGTTATAGGGTGAGCTTCTTTCTTATTTTCTTCATCTGGGATTTCTTGGCCCCTTTCTGTATGAATTTAGGAGCAACTTAATACCCCTTCCTTTAAAAAAAAAGTCTACTTTTTGCCCATTGCTATTGATCTTGACTTACATGTTTTTCTTATATTTTACAAGGGCAGACACAAAGCACTTCAATAAAATTTAGCTGAGTAACTCTCCGATAGGACACTGGTTTTTTCTTTGTTTAAGCTTTAAACCAAATGTGTTAAACATTTATCACAACTTGTGTTCTATAGATTTGAAACCACATTATTTAGCATCAGCTGCTTCTGAGTAATGCAGAGTATTTTGGTCCTTTGCTAAATTCAAAGGTAAGTGTGAAGTGGTGGGGGAGGGATTTGCACCAGCCACATAGATCTTTGGTAGAGGAGGAAATGGGAAAATTATTAACTTCAAGTAAGAAATAAGTTAAACTCACTTTTGAAAGGCAACATTCCTGTATTTTTATTTTTTTATTTGTTATTACTATTATTATTATTATTATTTTGAATGGGCATCTCACTTTATTGCTCAGGCTGGAGTGCAGTGGCACACTCATGGCCACCACAGCCTTGACCTACAGGGCTCAGATGATCCCTTCACTTTAGCCTTCAAAGTGGCTGAGACTACAAGCGTACACCACCATGCCTGGCTAATTTTCTGATTTATTGTACAGATGAGGTCTCACCAAGTTGCCCAGGCTGGTCTCAAACCTCTGGGCTCAGGCAATCCTCTCACCTCGGCCTTCCAAAGTGCTGGGATTATAGGCGTGAGCTACCACGCCCAGCCTATTATTATTGTTGTTGTTATTTTTTGAGTTGGAGTCTCATCCCAATGCCCAGGCTGGGGTGCGGTGGCATGCTCACGGTCACCCCAGTGTCAACCTGCTGGGCTCTGGCGATCCTTCCTCCTCAGCCTTTCTTTTTTTTTTTGAGTTGGAGTCTCACTCTGTCGCCCAGACTGGAGAGTGCAGTGGCTGCTCCCGGCCACCACAGCCTCGACCTGCTGGGCTCCGGCGATCCTTCTGCCTCAGCCTTTCTTTTTTTTTTTTTTTGAGTTAGAGTCTCACTCTGTCGCCCAGACTGGAGAGTGTAGTGGCTGCTCCCGGCCACCACAGCCTCGACCTGCTGGGCTCTGGTGATCCTTCTGCCTCAGCCTTCCAAGTAGCTGGAACTACAGGCGCGTGCTCATTTTTGATTTATTGTGGAGACAAGGTCTCGCCAAGTTGCCCAGGCAGGTCTTAAACCCGCGGGCTTAAGTAATCCACTCACCTCAGCCTCCCAACAGTGCGGAATTACAGACTGAGCCACCGAGCCCGGCTCTTCCTCAGCCTTTCAAGTAGCTGGAACTACAGGTGTGTGCTACCATGCCTGGCCAATATTTTAAATTTATTGTAGAGACGAGGTTTCGCCAAGTTGCCCGGGCTGGTCTCAAACCTGCAGGTTCAGGCAATCCACTCGCCCTGGCTTCCCAAAGTGCAGGGATTATAGGCTGAGCCATTGAGCCCGGCCTGTTATTATTATTATTATTATTTTGAGTTGGGGTCTCACTCTGTCACCCAGGCTGGAGTGCAGTGGCACCCTCATGGCCACCCTGGTAGCTGGAACTAAAGGCGTGCGCCTGGCTAATTTATTTTTATTAATTTATTGTAGAGCCAAGGTCTCACCAAGTTGCCCGGACTGGTCTTGAATCCACGGGCTCGGCCTCCCAAAGTCCTGGGATTATAGACTGAGCCACCGAGCCCAGCCTATTATTATTATTTTTTAAGTCAGAGTTTTACTGTCGCCTAGGCTGGAGTGCAGTGGCACACTCATCACTCACTACCACAGCCTCGACCTGCTGGACTCAGGAGGTCCTTCTGTCTGAGCCTTCCAAGTAGCTGGAACTACAGGTGTGTGCCACCACGCCTGGCTAATTTTTTGATATATTGTAGAGATGAAGTTTTGCCATGTTGTTCAGGCTGGTCTCAAACCTCTGAACTCAACGTGATCCTCTCGCCTTGGCTTCCCAAAGAGCTGGATTACAGGGTTGAGCCACTGTGCCTGGCATTCCTTTACTTTTAAAGTCACTAGGCAATAAAGACCCTTTTATGGCTTTGGTTGTGAACTTTTAAAAATTACAATATGTTTTAAGTGTTATGTGCTAATAAATATACATTTTCATAATTGGTTTGACAAGTACTGAAAATAACTGTTAGTACCAATTCTGGGTCTTCTGAAAAACCTGTGTTGGAGGAATTTTAAAATGTAGTTATCTTAGTTACTTTTCTCCTAGAGAATAATATTGAAAACATCTTGTAAGATTAATCATTTAAGCTGGGCTCGGTGGCTCAGCCTGTAATCCCGCGCCTTTGGGAGGCCGAGGTGAGTAGATTGCCTGAGCCCGCGGGTTCGAGACCCTCCCGGGCAACTTGGCAAGACCTCATCTCTACAATAAATCAAAAATTAGCCGGGTGTGGTAGCACGTGCCTGTAGTTCCAGCTAATTGGAAGGCTGAGGCAGAATCACCAGAACCCAGCAGGTTGAGGCTGCGGTGGCCGGGAGCGGCCACTGCACTCCAGTCTGGGCGACAGAGTGAGACTCCAACTCAAAAAAAAAAAGATTAATTGTTTAGAGAAGAACCTAGCATGTAGGTATTATTCGGTGAATGATTTTTGAATGATTGAAGAAAACATTTATTTTTGAAAATCTTGATACATGATCGCTTCTGGAAATGTCTATAGTTTTTATTTTAACCCTTTGCACTCAGATCTCACCTCTGAGGGGATGTCGCAAATCACGGGCATAAGTTGCTGGTGATTACACGGAACAGACTTATGCCAGTACAAATTTTTCAAAATCATATGTTTCCTTGTACTTTTCCATCCAAATTGCATGAAAAAGCAAATAAAGAGATGGAATATAAACTGAAATAGGATCGATCAGTTCAGAAGTGGTTTCCAGGAATCACGAGTGCCTCCTTCCACATTTCTGAACAATAGACTGGACAGTAAATTACATATTATTGATGCGGGAAGAAGAAAACGAGACTGCATTGTCTGCTTAAATAGAAAAACACCAGGTGGAAGATGTCCAACAAATTCCTACTGCACAACACGTATCAGTGAACCTGCAGTGCGTGTCAGTGACTGTTGCACACGTTACCACACATTAGAAGAATATAAGATAGAAAATTTTGATTTTCTTTATAGATAAGTTCCTCAGTGTCCAAAATTCCATTATAAGTCAAATATCTTTATAATAAAATAATTAGTTTCAAAGCTATACTATTTAATATGAAGTGATTTGTTTTTCTCTATTTTGTAAAAGAGTACAGTCGAATTGCTGGTAGGCAGTCTGTGAGATGTCTCTGAGGGCAAAGAGTTAATGTTGTTTTCTCTGCCAGGCTATTGAATATTCTAATTCTGTTGTTATTCTCTTATTCAAATCATTAATAATATATTATAGGTCATCTTTAAACAGCTGCTGCAGTCCGGTACAGTCCTTTTTCTCCACCTGCAAATATTGAGTCTGACAACATTTTTGTATGTAGCCTTTCAGTAAATTTAGTACTTATCTTGCACCAAAACAAACTTGATTATACTGAGTTTAATGATTAGATGGACAAGCACATTGTTGTCTCTTTTCTACACCTTTCTTCTATTGTGGAAAGAAATGAAGCGAACCTGTCAGTATTCCTGTTTTTATGAAGTTTAGTTCTCCTTACTTAGTATAATAATTCTCAAAGTGAGTCCTGCAGACCAGCAAAACATTATCATCTGAGAACATGTTAGAAAGCAACTTCTCAGTCCCTGTTCTAGTGACGAATGCAGAAGCTTTTGGGATGGCGATAAGCAGTCTCTTTTAATTCGTTTTCCAGGCAGTTCTGATGTGTGCTGAGTTGACAGCCGTTAGTTTAGCATTTGGACTGTCTGATTTAGTTTCTTATGGATTATTGAAGATTGTTGAAGTTACCTTTTCCAGATTTATTTCCAGATGTATATTCAGCCTTGTTGTCGATATCTTCAGTCCTTAGACACTGAAGAAAGCATAGTTATTTTCTGCAGTACAGTGTACTAGTCACCCTGGTGACCTTCCCAAATAAATAATAACAAATACTAGATAAAATAGTTATTAAAAAACTTAAATTCATGGTGGTAACTGGCCAAAAAGTAAAAAATAATCAGGCCAAAAACTGTGTGAAGCTGGGATCCCAGTGATGTAAGTCAAGGGCTTTTGCTAGAGGACATTAGTTGTGAAACCTAGAAGGTGTGTGCTTCTGCCTCAAGCAGCTCAGAAAACAGGAGATAAAGTTGGTAGCAAGAACCAAGGATGGGCTGCCCTGGGGACAGAGGATCTCTCCAGTTGGGGCAGCTTTATGGCTTGTTCCTGTGAATAGATTTTAAAAATTATTCTTTCAATAGATAACATGTGGCTTAAAAGGAAACCTCGAAAGGAACCAAAGCATTTGTTTCACTTTAAATTTAAAAGATAGGCGGAAGGATCACCGGAGCCCAGCAGGTCGAGGCTGCGGTGGCCGGGAGCGGCCACTGCACTCTAGTCTGGACGACAGAGTGAGACTCCAACTCAAAAAAAGATAAAATAAATAAAATTAAAAAGATACTGTATCAGCACCAAATAATTGAACTTTTGTTTATTTGGTTAAAAAAAAGTTGGTAGTATTTGGGAAGAAAGCTCCCCCACCCCCAGCAGATGGTGTCTCAAGGGACTATACCTCATCATATTTATGAACTAGGAATAAACTTGCCCCATCCAGGGATCTGAAAGGAAAATGTCCTGTCTCACATTGGTTGATGATGGGAAAGCTAAGAAAATTCCCAGAGAATTTTTACCCACAAGCTGACCTTGCAGGTTTAAATTCTGAGTTTATACTACCTGGGTGGAATGAACATCTTAAGCCAGTTATAAAACTAAAGTGGCATAAGAGTGGCAGTGCCTCAGAATACCTAAGAAGGAGCAAATACAGGGCTTCTCGGAAGAACCCATCTTCATCCCAGGACTTAGCAAATTCATATCATAAGGTTATAAGAAACACGGACTCACAGTCACAGAATGTACAAGAAAGCATCATACAGTGAATGAGAGCCAGTGGGAACCATAAAGAGCGTGATCAGAACCCACAGAGATTTCGTACCTCAGGATTAGCAGACAGATTGCATATACCTGCACTTAACACACTTAAAGAAATCAAGTAATTTAAAACAGAAGTGAGGAACAAGTGTATAAAGATGACAGATTTGATAAAGACTCAAATAAAATGGCTAACAGTGAAAAATATAATTTAGTTTGAGAACTCATTATATAAGTTTAGTAGCAAATTAGATACAGCCAAAGAGAGACTTGGTAAATCAGAAGATCTGAAAAAATTACTCAGAATGCAGAATGGAGGCAAGGAGATGGAAAGTATTGAAAGAGTCA